GTACTCTTGTGAGATGGCATCAGTAATTTGAGAAGTATAAAGAATCCAGATAAATAAGTTTGTTGATGAAAAGAACTCCGCGTTTTTGTTCTACTGCTGCGCTTGTAATGAAATCTGGATTTAAAAAATTAAATCCCAAGTAAATACAAGAATTGAGAAAACAATGCGAAAGGTAACTGTCGCTGCCAGCACTAACTCAACACCCATAGCACAGTATCAGTACCTAGGAGCCCGCGTAATAATAAATACCGTTGGGCAAACACGCAGTGAGGAGAGTCCGCGCGTAAACAAAGATGACCCACAGGTAAGCCTCAGAAGCACCGGTGATTATATGACGCACTTATCATCGCCTGGTTCTCATCTGGTTCATTTAACTATTTACATGAATCATATCCGTCCCTTAGTTATTATTATCTGCTTTAGTGTACTGGAAATTAATGGTGGCGGTCCTATTATAATAACTAAACTATTTTTCAGAAACGCTGTATCACAAGTTGTATTATAGAAATGATGAACAACAGCTGTCTTCTTCAACAAATTATTACAACTATATTATGTTGTATTCGTATACTCAGACGGGAAACAGTATCTCTTGATGGTTATACAAGGTGGAGGTTTGCTAAACTGAAGCTCATTTCGCACTTCTTCACGCGGCACTTTCCCAGATTACGCAGGAGCAGCCTTTTTGTACTCCACGGGTTCGTGGAGAGCCGCCCTGGCCCTGGGTGGGGTTAGGCGTTGACGCCGCGCACACGCGCGCCACCCGGCGCCCTTCCCCGCACCCCCACGGCTGCAGTGCAAAAGTTGGCTCCAGGAAAGGTAAGGCCGCATCCATGCACAGGAGAAAACAAACGGAAACCTGCAGCCCTGCAAGCTCTTAAACCCCACCCGGCTGGCCTGTGAGACCCACGCGGACTGCCTTGAGGGCAGGTGAGCATTTAAGACATGGAAAAGGAGGGAAACCCAAAGCGTCCTTTCTCCTGTTCCTATCGAGCCTCTCCCAAATCACCCTCACTCTGCTCCCTCCAGGTGGAATTTGGGGCTGATCAGAGGGAGACTGGAGTGTCGGGCCAGGAGGCCCAGAGGAACTCGTTGTAGCTGGTTAAAATCGGGGCGGTGGGAAGGATGCTGGGTGTGCACACTGAGACCCAGGCTTCTTCTGGGGGAGAAGCCCAGGTCACCCCTCCACCTGCACACACCTGCCCATGCACATTGCGCCGTCCAAGTCGGTCTTGCCTTAAAACTGTGATTCTCACCCTTGACTGCCTTACCTGTCAGAATCACCTGGGGAGCTTTGGAAACTCCCCCAGGAGGAATGATGCAGGAGGCACCTCTGACAGATCGAATCAGAACCGCTTGGGATCCCAAAATGCCAGGTTGTTAAGGCCTCCCAGGTGGATCCCACCTGCAGTCACTGCCAAGTCCCCTGAACAGGATCCAGCGTGGCTCTTGTGCTAAATCAGATGCAGAGTGGAAGAAGCAACCGCTCTGTTTAAAAATAAGAACCACCTAGCATGCTATTTTTACAAGGTTTTATATAGGCAAAATAAAGCCTACATTCAATTCCACTCTTTTCCTCCTTATAATAAATTTTGCTTTATTAGAGCGAAAGTAACGTCAACTCTTTTACTCTCTATGAAAATTTTCTGTTTCCCAGCTTGGTTTTATAGCGTTTCTGTTCCTACAGCTGTAATTTTATATGATGCTCTGCTGGTATTTTCAGAGCAAAAACATTATATGTAGTTCCTAGTGCCAAAAGGTATAGAAAGTTTTGTAAAACTATGGGAGAGGAAAGAGCAATAGGTTTATTTTAAGATCATAAAAATTTTATTTGGCTTTTTTTTTTTCCTCCTTTGCACTGGTTGCTGTTACTTTAAACGTCTTCTGGCATTTAACTGGCAATAAAAAGGGCAAAACAAACTGTTCCTTCCTTTAGATTGTGCAATTTTATTGCTCTGTTTTAGTGCAACTAAATGTTACTTTAAAAAAAAAAAAAAGATGCATGTTTAACTACGTTCTTTTTTGCAAAGCCCAGGGCTGTGAGCTGAGAAACTCCAAGGGTGTTGGAGGCACTCTGTGGGTGCCTGAAGCTTTTCAAAGACGCTTAGGAACAATCTGAAGTTTGGTGGCTTTCATGACATTGGTCCCAAAGCTGGGGACGGTTGCGTTTCACTGAATCTGAGACGGCTGAGCCCGTGTTGAGCCCAGGCATTAGACAGTCACAGTAAAGACAGACGCGTCTCGGTGACCATCACGCAGCTCCCAGTAAAGGAATCCGTGTAGGATCAGATGTTCACACTGTAAGTTGGAAGCCAGGGACCAGAGTAAATGTTTCCACACTCAATCCGTTTACGCATTTTGGATCACATAGGCGATGCTATCCGGTGGAAATGGGGAGTTTTATTCTATTTTAGACAGTGCCGTGCTCTGGTTTTCACATCCTTTCTTTTTATTTTCGTTTTTATTTATATATATTTTCCCCTCCCTTCACCCTTCCCTCGGTTTTCACATCCTTTCTACACGTGTTCACATAGATCTAAAAAACTGCCGTGTGATGAGTCAACACCAAACGGGGAGCTGAGTTCCAACCTATCACTCAGGCGGAAAACAAAATTTGGGTTTCATAGCAGAAAATGTATTTGAACATAGAATTTGAAGAATTTGGAGGATAAGAAAGAATTTTTTTTTTTTTTT